TGGACGTGAAGAAACTGTGACGCCTCATAATAATTATTAATAAATAATAATTAAATTCATTATACAGACATTTAAAAATGTCATAGAAATTATAATTTAAACAATAAAATGCAAATAATAAGCATAGAGTTCAAAAATATCCATTTGGAATATTGAATATTATATATATTAGTAAACGCATAAAATGTCTCTAAAAATCTCTAAATTTATTAAAAACCTGCTTAAAATGTTCAAAATGTATCAAATCATATAAATACAAGGCGATTATATTGCAATAACAAAGATAAATAACATTTGTAATATAATAGAAAAAATGGATTAAAATTTTTCTAAGTTGATGAAGGTGTTCGTGTAATAATTGGAAAATTTCTAAGTTAATGAACGTGTTCTTGTAATGTTCCCTTATATTGGGGCGTTGTCGGAGACACATACCCAAGGTTGTACATATATATGGGGTGGTCGGCTGACCGACTGCTAGTACTAAGGTTGCACAATGACTAGTCCTATATTAGGGACTTAACATAGTAAGGTCTGACGAACCAAAGCATTAATATAGAAGGTCTCTATGATGCATAAGCATTATGATAGCAGAGTTATGACTTGAAGTCCCATATGAATAAGACATACAGTAGTATGGTCTATGAAATAAAGCAAATATGTGGAAGGTCTCAAATATGTAAAAGCATTATATTGAAAGAAATGGGACTTGAAAAGGATTATTATAGTGGCGTGTAGGTTGCTTCGCAGCCTCTGAGACCGAGGTAAACTTGGACTCACTAACCGATGTGTCCTAGACATATCATCTTAGTGCCGGTGGTAAGCGGGTTTGTTGTAGCAATACGACTTGCCCGTGGACATCGCACACCCCTACCGGTTGTGGGCGGCGTCTTAGCGCACAGCGTTATGATACGTCGGCTATCTTTCGGATTAGGGTGAGTGTGTTTGGTAGTACTTTTAAGTGCAGCAAGCATACTCAACTTCATGTCTTAGTGCAATAGCGCTATGATACGTGGAGTTTTGGCTACTGACGTCTTAGTACCGTGCTACTATGATACGTTGGTGGTATTTTTAGTTAACAACATTATCAAATTTTGTTACCAAAGTCGATAGGGATCATGTGGGTGTGTTGTGAGGGGGCGCCATCCGTATGATAGTTGCATTGATGCTTACTGCTACTTGCAGTATTGTGTCTTGTGATGGATCTGCGGGTGTGCTGCACCTGATTCGATGCATCTTGTGGTTCTGGTCGATGGAGGTATGCGGGTGGTGATGTCTGCTGGGACTGTATAGGGGACCTTGGGATGGTGTAAGCCCGACGATAGTCGTATTGATGCTTGTTGCATTCTGTAGCATTGCGTCTCTACGATGGTTGTTTGGCGGGTCGCTATTCTCAATGGCGCTCTCTGCGTCTTGGTTTGACTCACAACCTAAGTAGCTTTGCCCAAGTCGGGTCCCTTCATTGCGGGGCTGCAGACTGTCTGCCCTCCATGATGTTTTATATAACAACTTAATAATATATCTCTATAAAGTTCCCACCTTTGAGAGATTGAAGGCAACTTGTTGGTGGGTGAGACAAACATGATCGAAAAATGCATATACTCAACGTCAGTGACACAAACCCTTTCTGATGGCGAATTATTAATATTATCTTATAACTGCCTATTGGCTATATCTGCCATTGTATTGGTTGGTGGAGCATATGTGTTGACCTCATGCGGGTGGTAGCTGGAGGGAGAATCTGAGGAGGCTCTCAAGGCTGCGGCCGAAAGCCGCGCAACGTGGGACCCCATTCCCTTGAGGTGAGCGGTAGACTCATGACACGCTCTGCGGCCAATTGGCCGTGCTGACCATGCAATTGGTGGTGATGCCTTACACTTACATCACGTCTGCAGGAACGGCGGTCTGGCAGGTGGTGGCGCTCACGGAAGGCTTTTTATGGTCAGTGTGCCTACTGTTGCCTAACCCGTGTGACGTACATTTCACTGTGGCTGGATTTGATCGTATTCTGTATGGCGTTTACACGCATTGACATGCGCGACTTCGGTCGATGTTTGTGCTTACGCACTATCAAGGGGCCAAGTCCTCTTTTACTGGTTCGCCAGTTATTTTGCTGTGGACTACGGTCCAGTTCCCAACTTTGCGTACCCTACGGGGGGAGCGCATTAAAATGGTTGGCGCTCACCGTGCGCGGCGTGTGTGGGGCCGTGTACCTCCTCCACATTTTTTTTTAAAATGTGGGAGAGCGAAGCCCTTGTAACTGGTATTTGATATAAATATTGTGAGCCTTTTCCAAGCGGGAAGGGATTAATTAATAAGGAATTGACTGTTGTGAACCAGATACAAGTGGAATAGGGACAATTTATTGTTCTTAACCTTTTTGAGCTCTGTCTTCGTGAACGGGGTTCTTTAGCTTATAAAACTCTACCAACAGCTTTCGATTGCTCTCGTGAATATTCATTCTTCCAAGATACACCTAAAAGAACTAAGTTACTATACAAACACAACGTAAAAAAGGGTCCTAACTAAGACGATCACGCCATAAATTTAAACGGCCTATATTTAAACCTTTAGAAAGATCAAGTTATACTGGTCACGTAAATTTGATATATTTATATATCTTACAGATATAGATTCTAAAGAAATACAAATATAAGTGGATATATAGTAGAAAAGAGAAAAAAGATGGGGGGGGGGGGTTCGTTACAATTTGGTGCCGTGACCAGGATAGAGGTTAAATTTTAAATAGGAGGCCGGTAATATAAAATTATGAGGTAGGCTATATGCCTACAATTTGTTGTCCGTGAAATGGAGAGGTGTCTTGGAGAGTGGTGTTTGCTGGGGGTGGTTGAGAGTCTGGGGGTGGGGCTTAAATATTAAAATTGAGTAATAATATAGGAGGTGTGTGCATAACGGAGCAAAATAATAAAAAGTGAAATAAGTGGAAAGACTCAATTAAACTAAGTGAAGGACACAACAGGTGTAAAAAAAAAAAAAAAAAAAAAAAAAAAAAAAAAAAAAAAAAAAAAACTGCAATCCTATATATTATAAAGTGAAATAAGTGGAAAAACTCAATTAAAGTAACTGAAGGACACAAAAAGTGTAAAAAAAAAAAAAGTGGAAATAAAAATTAAAATGGCTAAAAATAAGAAAAAATCAACCTCAGTTAAGGCTAAGCCTAAAGATGAGATGAAAATGCTTCAGAAATTAATTAAGAATGCAGTGAAAACCTTTGAGGTTAAAATAAAGGATCTTGAGGAAAAATTTATTAACCAAACGAAAGATTACCAAATTAAAATAAATCAAGAAGAGGTGTCCGGGGCGAGCACCTCTCATGTAAATGATCCTAGACAAAATATTGTATATAATGTACATAATGTAACAATAGAAAAGCCGAAATTTGGAAATGGAAATACTCATCCAGTATCATTTTTGGAAGATCTCACCAATTATTTAAAGAAAGTTCCATCTAATGGTCTCGAAATTTCGATTGCACAAGAGTGCTTAGTAGGTGAAGCGAAGTATTGGGCTCGCATTAATAATGTGCGTTGGACAACTTTTGATGATTTTAAAGCTGACTTCCTAAGAGTGTTTTGGGGTGAAGAAGAACAAAATAAAGTAAAGAGATTCCTTGTGCAAAATAAATGGAATAGAAGTACACACCCCACCATGGTTAGTTATTTTCTTTATGTTGTTGAGAAGGCACAAACATTATCATATCCGATACCTGAAAAACAATTAGTAACTGATGTCATCAGACATTATCCTAAAACTGTGCAGCAATTATGGAGAATAGCTAAAATTGAGACAATAATAGACACGACAGATTTCTTAAGAAACTTAGATGACACCGACAAACAAGATGAAGGTCGTGAACCTTACTATAATGAGAAAAGGAGGAAGTTTAATAATAATACGGAGCAAAAACATAAAGAAATACAACAATCATACAAAACATGGCGTAAACCCGAAGAGGGAAAAAAGAAGGTTAATGAAGTACATGAAATACATTTCACTAATGACCAACCTGATGTTACGGCCCCTGAGCCAAATTTAGAGCTGTAGAGGTCGAACTAGTTCCCGATTCGACCCCTTACAATGTAAAAGGGAACAAAGCATTAAATATGTTATTAAAACTGGGTTGGCGACCTGGTCAAACATTGGGTAAAAACAATAGAGGGTTGCGAAAACCTATTACTTTAAAAGCAAATTTTAACAGAGAAGGCCTTAGTTATAACGACAATGTAAATAGCATATTAAACACCTTAAAAGCCAGGTCGGACTTGCCCATAACGGAGTTATTCGTGCAAACCGTCTTCGAGGAAGACGAAGATAAATATCAAAGGGAATTTATAGGGAATATGAGATCTGAAATTAAAGTTTCAATATTTGACAAAGAAATAGACGCGCTCCTCGACACTGGGAGCGATGTTACATGCATTTCAGAAAGTTTATTATATTTACAAATTAAAGAAAATAATCGTAAAATATCAATAATGCCAGTTAAAGCAATGCAAATAAAAGGTGCTGTTGGGCAGCGCAGCACAAAAATACAACAGATGATCATATTGCCTATAAAGATAGATGAAGTAGTCTTTGAAACACAAACTTTAATTGTAGGTAATTTAATAAGACCTTTAATATTAGGCTTTGACTGGCTCAAGAGAAATAAAATATTGATTGATTTGAGAAATACTACTGTTGGAATAGAATTTAAAGTGAAAAACAAAGACTACTTTATACCTTTCAAATATAATAATAAATCTGTATTACATAATAACTGCATCAAACAATGTACCGATGATCCCTTAATAAATATAAAAATAGGATCTACATTGGAGGTCTCTGAAAGGGCAAAACTTAGTAAGGTTTTGGAAAAGCATAAGAATATGTTTTCGAGCAAATTGGGAAGAGCCAATTGTTATGAGCATAAAATTGAAATGATCGATGATGAACCTATAGTTACTAGGTCCTATCCTATTCCATATGCATATAGATCGGAAATGGAAGAAAAGTTAAATGAAATGGAACAAGCTGGTATCATCACAAGGACATCAACGCCTTACAGTAGTCCATTGACATTCACTCTTAAAAAAGACGGCTCAATTAGAGTTCTGCTTGATGCCAGAAGCATAAATAAGAAAATGGTTGCAGAAACAGAGAAACCACCTATACAATTAGATGTTTTGAATTCATTTCACGGAGCGAATTATATCACTACCATTGACTTAAATAATGCATATTTTCAAATTCCGATAAATAAAGATGGTAGAAAATATACTGGATTCACATTCAATGGAAAGTCATATGTATATAATGTTTTGCCGCAAGGATTAAAAACATCAGTAGGAAGCTTTAGCAGAGCCATGAATTTAATATTAGGACCAGAAGTCCAAGAATTTTGTGTGAACTATTTAGATGATCTAGCCATTATTACAACAGGAACGTTAGATAAACATTTGGAGCACATTGATATTGTTTTAAGTAAATTGAACAAAGCTGGCTTAACGTGTAACTTGCAGAAATGTGAATTTATTTGTAAAGAAATTAAAATGCTGGGTTTTATAATTTCAACAGAAGGCATAAAGACAGATCCCGATAAGATTCGAGCGATCCAAGAGTTTCCAGCACCTAAAAAGATTAAACAATTAAGGGCCTTTTTAGGTCTATGCAATTTTTATAGAAGGTTTATACCAAATTACAGCGAGAGCATAATACCGCTCTGTGAATTACTTAAAAAGGGACGAAAGTTCCAATGGAGCGGTAAAGAACAGAAGGCATTTGATTTTATAAAACAACAATTTATTAATACAATACAATTGCATCATCCAGACTTTAATAAGCCGTATTATTTACAAACAGATTGTTCCGGTGTGGGTATGGCCGGAGTACTATATCAGATAGATGATAATAATGAAATGAGAATTTTAGGCTATCATAGTAAAGCCTTAAAAGGCCCCGAATTAAATTGGTCTGTTACTGAACAAGAGTTTTATGCTGTAATAAGCTGCCTAAAGAAATTTGAAACATATTTGCGGGGCAGTAAAGTAATAATATTAACTGATCATAAAGCATTATTGTTTATTAATAATATGAAGTTATTCAATGGTAGAGTAACCCGATGGATTTTGTATATAGAACAATTTAATTATGAAGTACAGCATATATCGGGTAGACGTAATATTGTTGCAGATGTGCTATCACGTTATCCTCCTGATGGCGATTTAATACAAGAGGATAAAAATAATAGTTTAGAAATTGCTTACACAGAGAGCGAACCGAATATTGAGTTGATAGAAAAATTAAAATCCTTAACAGTATATCAATTACAAGATTCAGAGTCGTTGGCTATTATTGAAAAGTTAAAGACATTAAATACTTCCATAATAAAACAAAACAATAAATTTAAAAGGTATAGTTTGAAAAATGATGTATTATATTACAAAACGAATTTACAAGAAGTAATATATTTACCTAAAGCATTGAGACAAGATATTATAAATCAAGTGCATATCGAAATGGGTCATCAAGGACCCTATTAGGTAATTAAATATGTGAGAGACAGATTCTTTTGGAAAGGTTTAACAAAAGATATTAAAAACCAATTAAGGGCTTGTCATTTATGTCAGTTATCTAAGAAAAGCAATATAACATATGTGGGTCCCTGCAAATCTATAATAACAGAAAACATTGGCGATATAGTCATGGCAGACTTATATGGACCACTTGTATCAGGTACCTTTGGGTACACTTTCATATTTGTCATTCAAGATTCATTCAGTAAATTTATCAAATTATATCCTTTAAAACAGTCAACAGCAAAGTCTGTTGTAACAAAAGTAAAGCATTTTGTTGAGATTATAAAGCCCAAGGCAATAATGACAGATAATGGAAAACAGTTCGTAAGTAATCACTGGAAACAATCAATGAGAGATTTAAATATAAAGCCAATATATACCACAGTTAGAAATCCTAGACCAAATACAACAGAGCGAGTAAATAAAGAGTTGAGCAGATTATTTAGGACGCTGTGTCATACTAACCACAAAGATTGGGCGTTAATATTGCCGAAATTAGAAGAATTGTATAATAATTCTTATCACAATAGTACAGGCTTCACGCCTTGTGAAATTCTTTATGGTGAGTCTAATGAGATGTCTTTTGACAAAGTAATTTCCAAAAGTAAAGACAAACATAATGTCGAACAGATTAGACAACAAGTGCGTAGAAATTTAAAAGAGGCAAGTCGAATAAGAAACACAAAATTTGATAAGCGAAATAGATTAATAAAATATAATATTGGTGACTTAGTAAAAATTTCAAGATATAGTAGATCAGACGCTGATAATAAAGTTATGAGTAAGTTTAATTTGGCATATGAAGGACCTTATGTAATAGCAGCCGTACCATTTGACAATGTATATACCTTAGCAAATCCAGAGACAAACGAAATTAGAGGAATTTTCAATGCTATTCACTTATTAAAATATTTTAAATAATAATTTCTTTTTGTATAAATTAGAGTAATTAAATAAATATTGTAACATAAAAGGGTTTTGTGGGTGGCCCATGGAAATAATTGTTTAAGTTAAAGGTCTAAAATTATTAAAGTTATGAGCAAGAGATTTGTTATATGATAGTAGAACGTTATTAATATATAATGAAGAGTTGTAAATATAGATCGTAAGATAATTTTGTAATCATTTTTATTAAATAAATATGGGAGTTGGGTCAGGGCGAATGGCTCAAACACATTTATCCTATGTGGTATCGAACTGACCTCAACAAATATCAAACTGGATTGTATGCACATAAAGTGTGACACTATCGAAATAATGTTTCAAAGATTTAAAGATAAGTTAATAAAATAAGAAATCGACAATTGACTGCAAACTTTATTAACAACACGATATACAATAACTTGAATTATGGTGTTATCACATTGTGATAATTGTGGTTGAAGGGGTGTTGGTGGCGGCCATTCTCTGGGGCAGGGGGATTTGATAACATATGCCGTATTGTAACAGATTAAAAGAGGAAAGAACAGATATATAAACAATTATTTGAGTGTAGTGTATATGCTCTCAAAATACTAAAATTTTATATTAACGACTCCACTATGTGGATCATTAACATAAAATTTGGGGGTGGATTGTGACGCCTCATAATAATTATTAATAAATAATAATTAAATTCATTATACAGACATTTAAAAATGTCATAGAAATTATAATTTAAACAATAAAATGCAAATAATAAGCATAGAGTTCAAAAATATCCATTTGGAATATTGAATATTATATATATTAGTAAACGCATAAAATGTCTCTAAAAATCTCTAAATTTATTAAAAACCTGCTTAAAATGTTCAAAATGTATCAAATCATATAAATACAAGGCGATTATATTGCAATAACAAAGATAAATAACATTTGTAATATAATAGAAAAAATGGATTAAAATTTTTCTAAGTTGATGAAGGTGTTCGTGTAATAATTGGAAAATTTCTAAGTTAATGAACGTGTTCTTGTAATGTTCCCTTATATTGGGGCGTTGTCGGAGACACATACCCAAGGTTGTACATATATATGGGGTGGTCGGCTGACCGACTGCTAGTACTAAGGTTGCACAATGACTAGTCCTATATTAGGGACTTAACATAGTAAGGTCTGACGAACCAAAGCATTAATATAGAAGGTCTCTATGATGCATAAGCATTATGATAGCAGAGTTATGACTTGAAGTCCCATATGAATAAGACATACAGTAGTATGGTCTATGAAATAAAGCAAATATGTGGAAGGTCTCAAATATGTAAAAGCATTATATTGAAAGAAATGGGACTTGAAAAGGATTATTATAGTGGCGTGTAGGTTGCTTCGCAGCCTCTGAGACCGAGGTAAACTTGGACTCACTAACCGATGTGTCCTAGACATATCATCTTAGTGCCGGTGGTAAGCGGGTTTGTTGTAGCAATACGACTTGCCCGTGGACATCGCACACCCCTACCGGTTGTGGGCGGCGTCTTAGCGCACAGCGTTATGATACGTCGGCTATCTTTCGGATTAGGGTGAGTGTGTTTGGTAGTACTTTTAAGTGCAGCAAGCATACTCAACTTCATGTCTTAGTGCAATAGCGCTATGATACGTGGAGTTTTGGCTACTGACGTCTTAGTACCGTGCTACTATGATACGTTGGTGGTATTTTTAGTTAACAACATTATCAAATTTTGTTACCAAAGTCGATAGGGATCATGTGGGTGTGTTGTGAGGGGGCGCCATCCGTATGATAGTTGCATTGATGCTTACTGCTACTTGCAGTATTGTGTCTTGTGATGGATCTGCGGGTGTGCTGCACCTGATTCGATGCATCTTGTGGTTCTGGTCGATGGAGGTATGCGGGTGGTGATGTCTGCTGGGACTGTATAGGGGACCTTGGGATGGTGTAAGCCCGACGATAGTCGTATTGATGCTTGTTGCATTCTGTAGCATTGCGTCTCTACGATGGTTGTTTGGCGGGTCGCTATTCTCAATGGCGCTCTCTGCGTCTTGGTTTGACTCACAACCTAAGTAGCTTTGCCCAAGTCGGGTCCCTTCATTGCGGGGCTGCAGACTGTCTGCCCTCCATGATGTTTTATATAACAACTTAATAATATATCTCTATAAAGTTCCCACCTTTGAGAGATTGAAGGCAACTTGTTGGTGGGTGAGACAAACATGATCGAAAAATGCATATACTCAACGTCAGTGACACAAACCCTTTCTGATGGCGAATTATTAATATTATCTTATAACTGCCTATTGGCTATATCTGCCATTGTATTGGTTGGTGGAGCATATGTGTTGACCTCATGCGGGTGGTAGCTGGAGGGAGAATCTGAGGAGGCTCTCAAGGCTGCGGCCGAAAGCCGCGCAACGTGGGACCCCATTCCCTTGAGGTGAGCGGTAGACTCATGACACGCTCTGCGGCCAATTGGCCGTGCTGACCATGCAATTGGTGGTGATGCCTTACACTTACATCACGTCTGCAGGAACGGCGGTCTGGCAGGTGGTGGCGCTCACGGAAGGCTTTTTATGGTCAGTGTGCCTATTGTTGCCTAACCCGTGTGACGTACATTTCACTGTGGCTGGATTTGATCGTATTCTGTATGGCGTTTACACGCATTGACATGCGCGACTTCGGTCGATGTTTGTGCTTACGCACTATCAAGGGGCCAAGTCCTCTTTTACTGGTTCGCCAGTTATTTTGCTGTGGACTACGGTCCAGTTCCCAACTTTGCGTACCCTACGGGGGGAGCGCATTAAAATGGTTGGCGCTCACCGTGCGCGGCGTGTGTGGGGCCGTGTACCTCCTCCACATTTTTTTTTAAAATGTGGGAGAGCGAAGCCCTTGTAACTGGTATTTGATATAAATATTGTGAGCCTTTTCCAAGCGGGAAGGGATTAATTAATAAGGAATTGACTGTTGTGAACCAGATACAAGTGGAATAGGGACAATTTATTGTTCTTAACCTTTTTGAGCTCTGTCTTCGTGAACGGGGTTCTTTAGCTTATAAAACTCTACCAACAGCTTTCGATTGCTCTCGTGAATATTCATTCTTCCAAGATACACCTAAAAGAACTAAGTTACTATACAAACACAACGTAAAAAAGGGTCCTAACTAAGACGATCACGCCATAAATTTAAACGGCCTATATTTAAACCTTTAGAAAGATCAAGTTATACTGGTCACGTAAATTTGATATATTTATATATCTTACAGATATAGATTCTAAAGAAATACAAATATAAGTGGATATATAGTAGAAAAGAGAAAAAAGATGGGGGGGGGGGTTCGTTACAAAACGTTGCGCCACATAACACAGTTCTAAGACATACGTATTACGGCGGGACGTCTTGAGACGTTACTTAACTCTGTATGGGAAAAAAGTACAAACATTACACCGCTGCAGTACAAACATTTAGAGATGAGGGTGCTCACGCGAACGTGTTAAAAAAGGGTAAGCTCTTTTCTCGAAGGTCACTAAATCGGAGTAATGGTCTGGAAAAATCGCTGATGGTAGACGATTCCACAAGGAAGTTGAGGGAAGAAGAAAACTTCTTTTAAATCGCACAGTGATGGACCGCTAATCATCCAGATGGTATGTATGGTATCGCAAGTATTGTCGCGATGTACGATGGTGAAATTGAGCGGTTGGGATTAGTCCGAACAATTTCTCAGAGCACTCCCCGTGGTAGATTCGATTAAATATTCAAGAGATGCAACATCTCTTCGCAGTGCAAGTGAGTCAAACCGATCAGAAAGAGCTCGGTCGCCGACGATTTGAACCACACTGCGCTGGATGCTATCTAATGGAAGGAGCTGAGGAGCCCCGGCTCAGAGATGGGATTAGTATTCCATGTGACGCAGGGTTCGGCGCCTTGTAAAGTTGTATATATGTTGATAAGGATATTTGCATCCTTACACCGTTAAGAAATAAGCATATTTTACATAATGAATCTTTACATTAATTTACCTTAAATTAATGTAGATTAAAGTACG